AAATGGGCAATTAATTCTGAGACTAGCAAGGCAGATTATGCTCTGGAATAAGTGGGGCAACTACGTGGATTCAGTGGGGCAGTGAGCAGCCAGCTGCTGGAAGAGGGGGGTTAAGGACAGGAGAAGGAAGTGGTGACTGCATAGGATCTGGCAAGACAGGAAGAGCCTAAAACTTAACGGTCTCTAGAATACACAAGCAAGTTACATAGGAGAAAAATGGAAAACGCCTCTTAGAACTACCAAAGGTTTTCAGGTTATTTTCTATGGAAGACTATTAGAAAATAGGGGGGAAAAGGTAACTCGCTAAGTGCAGGTAATAGCAATAAATGTCCAAGAGAAGCATTATCTGAAATTTCCCTTTAAAAATCAGGAAGGATTACTTCATAATAACTTTGTGTGTGTATGCATGTGTCTGTGTGGGGACTCATAAGTGCAACTGAACAATAGTTCAAAATTCAAATGCGTAACTTTGGTATCCATTCAAAACAACCCCAACGTATGTAATAGCTGTGAGCGTGAACAATTGGAGCAGATGTTGATTACTACGGCAACTCTTCTGTGTGTGCATGTATGTGTGCATATGTGCATAGATGCACACACACACTCACACATGGTACTCAGGAGGCCAATCCACACATCAGCTAGTTTCTCTGTTGAGTAAGCTTCTTACTCAGTTCCATACCTTAGCATCCTTAGCAAACACAACTTTCAAGTACATGTTTCCTTCATCCCAAAATATTTTGAAAGGGGTACATGAAAGGCTGACGAAAGCAAGCATTATATAAATGCATTATAAATGGATGCCTACCATATTTGGGGGTGAAGTCCAAGAAAAAAAACACTGAACAGGAAGCACACATACGTTTGTACTATTCAGAATATTCATACAGGCAGTGTAATGTCTTGGCTCAAAAATAATTCTTAACACACGTCACATTATTCTAACCAGACCATTTCTTACAATGTAACCATTAGTTCCAATATTTTTATCGCCTAAAATGGGAGTTGTAATCAACAAATCATTCAATTTCCAATGTAGAATTCAGATTTCCTTTGTAAATAAAGCTGTTCCCTTGCTTATTACATGGCACACTTTAGAGAACCACTTGGGTTGATATGATTTATTAACAAGTATCCTCTGAGGCTGAAATAAGTGCTGATTAGAGTGAGGACACCAGAAATGTTTAATTATCAAGTCAAGTAAAAACAAAATCTTCACTTAATGGAAGGATTTTTTAAAAAATCTACCTCAGTTTGGATGGAAGCACTCATTCAACATTGTGCTGACAAGGAAACAAGACAGACTATGAGAGACAGGGGGCTTGCAAGGGGAGGGGGTGATCCGTGAAAGTCAAGATGGCAACTGTGATTATGTGATTGAAGTCATACCTTTTTTTGTGTGTCATATGTGCAACACACATGAAAAATGAATGAACCTTCAATCGCATAGTTGCAGTCACCATCTTGATTTTTTCCAACCCCCCCCCCTTGCAGACACTCCTACGAAAGACCTGTAGGGACATCCATGAACCATGATTTCCTTCCACCAATAATAATGTACTTGTTCCGTTCACTTGCTGGTTGGCTGAATTCTTCTGTCATCTTCTTCCCCATTTTGCATTCATGCACGGTGAAAGCTTGAACTGCATTAGACGAGAAATGTGGCAAAAATACTCGGCGAAGAAGATAATCTGCTTGGGGTTTCTTTTGCTCAGCCCTAAAATACACGGTGGCAATTGTGTCAGAAAGCAAAACCTACAATGGCGCTCTCTTTAAACGGTATTTAAAAATGAAATTTAAAAAAATGCTGCTGCTGCTGCTGCTGCTGAATCCTAAGAATCCAGGCTCAGAAGAGGACAGGGAAGCCCCAACACAAATAAATAAATAAATAAACAGACCCACCCACCAGGACCATTCCATTTTTCTACTGACTCAGTCAAAGCTGCGGTACCAGCCCTGAGTCACGGTCAGCTAGGTGCAAGCTTCACCCTGACACACCATTGTCTAAATGAGAGCAAAGACTTGATTGCTCAGTGGCAAGTTCCATATGTTTTGGACTAAGGCAGTGTTGTCCAAACTTGGCCACTTTAAGATGAGTGGACTTCAACTCCCAGAATTCCCCAGC